CCCCAAAACCCCAAAACCCCAAAACCCCATGCTTTTGATTAGGTTGGATTTAAGGGATTAATCAAAATAAATTAACCATCACTATTCATTCTTGATATTGAGATAAGATCTTTACTTATATTATCTCCAATTCTTTTTTTGTTAGTAATTTTGTTTTATCAAAGAGTCAATCAAAATATAATCAGACTTGTTTCCAGTTGATATCAATATATCTTTTATTCTAGACCAGTCCTTTTAGTCAAATTCCAAAAGATAGCATTCACTTTAAGCATATGCTGCATCCTTCTTTTTGCTTAATTTATGCTCAATCATTGTCTCTTCTCCTACTGTATTACTCATCCCTAATACCCCAAGTGCCCCAAGTATCCTGTGATGAAGTATAATCTTGCCAAACATGATCACATAGATCACAGTGCTTATGTCGTCCTATCTGTATAATAACTAATTAGGTCTGAGTTTTACTACTTTACATCCTGATACAAAGTCTTTTACAGCATAGTAACTAAGTTTGTTGAAAAATGGATGAAACCTCATTAACTCAACAGAGCCGATGGAGACTTAGTTTTAAATTTAGTTTTTCTTGTAGGGATCATCAAAACACATTTTAACCAGCATGCTCCAATCATCATAGTTCTTTTCTTTTAATTTCTCTAAGCCTCTCTCTATTATTCTGTAGTAATCTTTAATGTCAGGCAAAAAGTAATCACTAAAAGCAGATTGAATTTTTAAATGAAATAAGTTACTCTTAATCATGTTTATTACTTTGCATATCCTCTTATGTTTTGAAGTATTAATTTTTTTGATTTTTTCTAATTGATTCCACTTATCGTTAATCGCTATCATCTTCATTAATTCTCAAACCCTAAATTATAATTAGATAATTTAAATTTTTACTCTTCTTCTGCTTTGAGCTCTATCAAATATCTCTTTATGAAAAAGGTGATTTCTTTCTTGCGGTTTTTTAATTGAGTATATTCCGATATTGCTCAGAGACCTTTTATTTTTAAGATTTTTAAGTTGTTCGCTCTTGTATTCTTGGAATTTACTAGGTCCCATCATTTTCATAATCTTTTACTCAGTTTTTATTGTTTTCTTTGCTATCTGAGATTCAATAGTAAAATCATCATCTAAATTAACCTAGTATTTGATATGACTTCTATCAAGAATGTGCATCACGTTCTCTGAGAATTCCTAATTCGGATTATATTTCTACGGCTTTAGTTTAACTTAATTGATGAAACTGCTTTCCTCATTGTTTTAATAGTCATCACCTTCTCTATCAGACTTACTTCTCCAAGAAGCTGGTTTTAAAGGTACTCTCGAAATCTCATTAATAGGTTTATCATAGTTATTTATTCTGAGCTCTAATCTTGAAAGGCTGTTTGAATCACGACCACTTAGCAAAGGGCTATTTCTCTAGGTAATTAATTCCAAAGATGACATGTTTCGTGCCTATTACTCTAAGGAGCCTTCATACTTTAAGTCTAAATTTGGATCTTAAAAAGAAAGCATTTGGGTTAGTGCTCCCATTTCCTTATCATCTATCATACTATTCAAATCACTTCTATTTATTCTGGCTCTAATTTATGATCTTTTTTATCATTCTTTTTCTTAATCCTCAAAGCTATTGTTTTATTATTCTTTGTCCATCTGATTTATACTTTAACTAATACTTATTATTGGCATTTCTTTATTAGTTGTGTTAGCTTGTCGTGATACAGTTCTAGATTTATTTTTCAAAAATATATTCTTCTGAACATAAGGTGAATGATACTATTTCAGTTTAAGGGTTGTTCTAATGGAGTTTTAAAGTCTATCTTTTCAAATTGCATCATAATTTTTCAATTCTTTATTACCTACGTTTGGAAGAGTAAGACTTTTGACACTGTTTCCTATATCATAAGGTGATTAGTAGTTTTAGCCATAATCATTTGAATCTATATTTTAATTTCTAAAGTTATAAGGATCATATTTTACTATTGCTAAAAATTTCTAGAATTGCTCTTCAGAATACTGTTTGGTTAAAATTTTTGATGAAAGTTTATAACCTCTTTCAAATTTTGAAGGCCATTAATGTAACTGAAATCATTTAAATCACTTAGCGCTCTTTAATCTTGATAAAGTTCCTCAGTTCTATGGGAACTTCATTATAAATTTTATTTGGAAGAAGAGTTGAAATTGATAAGTTCATTAATTGCATCCATTATATTTAAATTATTATAAATTGACTTAAGGTTTTAATAAATCATTTGACTCAAAGATATAAATTCAGATGAATAAGCAGCATTAAACTCAACTCGATTCTCCCATTTCTTCTAAGGGAGTATTTTTTTGTCCTCATTTGATTTGGATTTTCTTTATGCTCTCCACAAAGTTGTTCCAGCAATCTTGCTACATTTGAGAATTATTAATTTCTTGGTAGCAAAAACTCTGCATTGCTTTTATGTAGTTTTGCATTTTCTGATGTTTGAATGCAGGAATCGCAATGTCTGCCAGATAGATAATCAGATAGTTCTTTATAATCTCATAATTTTAGATATCTTTTTCTCCCTATGAAATGCTTTGTAAGATATTCTATGTTTCAGAAGCTTTGCCGTCTTTAGACTTGAACATTCCCTTTAGAGTGAATTTTCCTGTCGATAACTTGTCAACGGTTTCTTTTTTTTCTTTAACCTTAGTTATTGTGCGGGATTTCTGAGCCTCGATGCCTTCTTTTCTTGATATAGCTTCCATTAAGGCCCCTAACTCCATTATTTCTCCTTTCACCCAGTTTCTTATATGCAAAAATGGATTTTTCAATCTTTAAGACTAAAATCAAATAAAACTTGGCAAAAATTATTACAGTTTCAGTGAGTTATTATTTGAAATCAAACTTTCCATCGACTCCTCCACTTATTAGGTTGGCTTAAAATGGTTCTTCAAGAGTTGACTTTTTGAGATTTAGCTCCTCATATTTAATTAGAAAATCTATGAAATCTTTATAATGCATAACTTCTTATTCCTTGATTGGCACAATCATCTTAATTTGCTTCTTAAACTTTTTTAAGTGATCTATGAAATCTCTGCAGTCTTTTACAAAATCATTGATTCTTTCGTTGTACTTTTTTAACGTAAATTCATTTGCCATCTAAATATCTAAGTCTCAAATATAATATTACTTCATTGACAGGCATTGCAGTTCTAAATCTTTGTAAAACTTCATCTGTTGTCTGCTTTGGAAGGTTAGCCATTGCTTTTTCTACATCTCCATTCGGTCTAAGGAATGTTTGAAATTCAACAGACTCATAGAGGTAGGGTAAGAAGCCAATTTCTTTTATAAATCTGTCCAAAAAGGTGCATCTTTCCTCAACAAAATGATTGTCTTTGTTTCCCTGAAATTAATAAGACTAAATTAATACATACCATTTTCTTTTTTTCAGGAATAGGTGGAACATAGAGTCCCAAAAATCTTTGGAATAAAATGTTTCTAAGCTCATAAAAATGACTAAATCTTCTTTCTATCTCTAATGATCCCATATGATCAGTTCCTCTAACTTTGTAAACATGGTGCTTTCCTGTTGTTCCGCCTTTAATTGTTGGCTCGCAAACATCTAATGAGGGAGGTTCTAATTTCCTCAGATTCATAATATCCTTGAAGCTTGATGCAACACCCTCTGTAAATGCTCCATCATTAAACAATTTAGATGGGGCTGATGTCTGAGAATGCAAGTAGGGAGGCTTCGATCCACTCATATCAAGTCCGACTTAACTTTGGCTCTATGGTTAATATAAGGTATTGGCATGTTGAGTATTAGATTTGTTATAAGTATTTGTGTAGCCGGCTCCAACATTCTCATGATTATTGTACTATGGCTGAAAAGTGTCTTATTGACCAACAGGATTACCGCCTCTAATTTAATTATTAATTTATTGATATTACTAGTAGTTTTGATATTAGCTATCTTGATCAAATCCATAAGAATTGTCTGTATATCCAGCCCCACCTCCGTTGTAATTATTCTGATTCCACTAGCCATTATTATAACCTTAATTATAACCTTGATTCTGATACTATTACATGGGTGGTTTGATTTCATCTGGATCCTTAAACTCATCAACATTGCCTGCTCTGAATTAGGCAATTAAACTCTCTATTTCAGTTTTATTAGGCTTTCAATTGAGGAAATATTTAATAGCTAGAGAGAAACTTACAATTAGATTCCATGTTTTATTGTAAATTACTTTAATAAAATTATGCTATCTATCATTAATGAAAATATAATACTTATTCTATATTCTTATGCAATTAAATATCCTTTGATAATAAAACTAATGGGGTTTTGGGGTTTTGGGG